AGAAATAGCCCACAAGCTGAATTAAACTCTGAGTACAGTGGAGGCAGGACGTCCTGTGAGAGATAATGTGATTTGACAGGCAGAAAACTCACATCTCACGTTGGACAAGGGAGACATTAATGAAGTCTTTTATTTGAAGTGTGTGTTATTGTGTGTTTGATTGACCTAATTATTTAAACTACTGAACATAAGAATCCAAAGTAGAGATCCTCAGGGAAACGTAATTCCCCCAAGAGGGATTCGTAAAGTCCTTCTTCTTTTCTTAAATGAATGTAAGAAAATGAATGAGTTAATATTAATTTGGTCATTAATTAGGGACTAAACTTTACAAACCAAGCTATTAACCGATCAATTAATAGATTATACTATTATGAAACTAATTATGTCATTAGAAATCACACAAAAGGAAGAATTAATGAGAAATAATTTACATTTTGAGTTTATCCAGACGCCAGGAAGAACAGAATGTTTTGGGTAGTATTATGTATTAGGTCAAAGTAGCACATTTTCAATATAGAAGTGTTGTTTTTAAAAAGGACTGCATTCAAGATTTAAAGTATATAAATACTAAAGTGTCTGCAGCAGAATATCCCAAAAATATCTAGCAAAGGTTTTTAGAGATGTGTGTTTTTATTAATATACCTAGGTATCGACCGTAATTACTGAGTAGTATAGAGAGGGCTGCACATAACTGGTGCGCACCCCCCCTCCAAAAGAGAGAGAGAGAGAGAGAGAGAGAGAGAGAGAGATTTGCGAGTTGCATAAGAGCTGGTAAGATAGCAGGGTTTCACACATAGACTTTACTTGGGGGGGCCGCCCAGGTATATTAACGGCCACCAAAGTATAATTCGCGAGCCATTTAGGTTGATTTTTGTTATCCGTCCGCGTGCACGACCGACGGCATCTGCGATCCCTCGCTCTACCCCTATCGCGTGTGAAGGATTTGCTTTATGCGCTCTGCACTGTAACCCCGCTGCGAGGCTCCGGCGAACCCCCCCCCCCCCCCCGTTCATAAAGTCAAGAAACCCAACATCTCCAGGTGCTCCTTTGAGAACCAGGGCAAAAAAGTGATGTGCACCCCTGAGTATAGAACACTAAGCATATAAGTATAGAAACTTCTCCAGTCAAATGATTTGTTGGTTTTGCCCGCAGCCAATCACTGCAATCGTTGTTAAAATGAATGTGACGTGGGATTGGCCCACAAGGCAGCAGCTACAATCCACTTTCAACCGCTTAAAGATGCCCCGCCCCTTAGCCTATCACGTACAAGATGTTGGAGTGCTAGCCAATAGAAGTGTCAGTGTTGCATAGTGTTGTCATTATGTTACAGGGTTAAATAAAGGAGTCCAATGGAGGTGTTTCAGGCAGGGGGGGGGGGGGGAGAGAATTTTACCTTTGTAGACCATTTACATGCACGAAAAACCTATATAACACACAACAGGAAATGGAAACTCAAAAAGCATTAAAGGGCCTCTTTAATAATGTTAAGTGACTCACCTTCTCTGTAGACTGCGCTGTGCCAAAGAAGATGGGGACGAAGGCCAGCCAGACGATGCAGGTGGTGTACATGGTGAAGCCAATGGGTTTGGCCTCGTTGAAGTTCTCAGGAACTCCTCTGCTCTTGATGGCGTACACGGTGCAGGTGATCATCAGTACGAAACTGTAGCTCAGACAGAGGATGAGGGAAAGGTCGCCCATGTCGCACTTGAGAACTCCACGGGCGAACTCTGGGTTTGGGGGCTTCTGCTCCTCGTAGTCGATGATGGTGTGAGGCGGTGACACACCAAACCAGACGAACACCCCGAGTACCTGCAGGGAACGGTTTAAGCATTAGTTAGTGCTCCAGAGAATCTACGTGATGCGTGAAAGAAGCTTCCACACACCTGCGCTCCGATGAGTATAAAGGTGATAATCAGCTGAGAGCCGGGGCTGATGAATTTCGGGGGCGAGACTGCAACCTTGCCCTGCTCGAAGATACGGTAGATACGGTTGGTCTTGGTGAGCATGGCGGAGTAGCTGATGCACATGCCGAGCCCCAGCAGCAGCCGGCGAAGCGCACACACGCCTGTGCTGGGTTCGGCTATCATGAAGAAGGTGATGAGGTAGATGAGGAAGATGCCCGTCAGCAACACGTAGCTGAGCTCTCTGCCGGAGGCCCGAACGATGGGCGTGTCGTTGAAGCGGATGAAGGTGACGATGACTCCGCTGGTGGCGAGGATGCCCAAGATGGCGAGGAACACGGGGATGATGGCCCACGGAGAGCTCCACTCCAGCTTTATGATGGGCGTTTCCCGGCAGCCTGTGCGGTTCTTAAAGGGCCTCATGTTGAAGGGGCACATGTCGCAGGAGAACTCGTCCAGCAGGTACTGGTAGCCGTCGCAGAACTCGCAGTGCCAGCAGCAAGGAACGCCCTTCACCATCTTCTTCCTCTCTCCGGACTCGCAGGGGAAACTGCACACCGACTCGGGAACCTTGCGGTCACCACCTGACCACTGCATCTCCTCCGGCTAGGTTGGATGCACAAACACACAGACTTTGTTTCAGTATGCTTGAAATATAGAAAGAATGGGCAAAGACTTTGTAATAATCTAATAACCAGGAAGATACTGTTCAGATAAAGCCCAATTGATAGCGACAATTTTACCATCCTCGAGTGATTTTCTGGCCAAAGTTCTGTAGATCGGTTGTGGTTTCATAGAAGTAATGCTTCCATTCGTTCTTTCGTTTGTTGAAGATGCATTTGTTTCCTTTTTAATACAAGTTTTTGTATTGTAGGTGGATAAAACTAAGACGGCTACATTTATAGTGAGCACCATGTTGTGGTTGGACTATCTAAGAGTCACTAACTATGTAACTAAAGCAAACAGCTGATTAGCTTCATAGAGAGGCGAAGTCCCTCCCTTTCCGGGGGAGCTCCATGGGACCTTATTTCGGAAAAAGTATGTATTGAAGTCAATGGAGAGAGAAAGATTATATTTCGATCCCGTTTGAATTGTGCCACGAATTACACATATGATGTTTGTCAATTGATAAGATAATTTTGCAAGTAAAACAAATAAAAATGTGTCGTAAAACTGCGAATAAACACTTTTTTTGGTGTGAAAGCGCTCAATGAACTACATCTCCCGTCTCGCACCACACACCAAGATGGCCGTCGCGTTGGCACATTTCACTTCTTTCTTTCAGAATGAGGCGAAAAGTATTAAAAGAGGTGAAAATCACTCCAAGTCTGGGCATGTTGAGAGCTGTACACACACACAAGGGGAGTTAGTCGGTTCCGTAAGAGCCAGCATGCGGGACCGGGATTCTGGGATTTGTAGTCTTTCTAGTTGCGTATTTTTCATAGTCTTATATTTCAACAGTTTTACGACAAACTGTGACTTTTTTGACAAGGAAATAATTTTTTAAGATTGACAAACATCATATGTGTAATTCGTGGCACAATTCAAACGGGATCGAAAGATAATCTTTCTCTCCCCATTGACTTCAATATATAATTTTTCCGAAATAAGGTCCCATGGGTCGGAAGTAGATGGGCGGGACTTCGCCTCTCTATTTAGCATAAAGGCAAACAAGGAAACTGCTAGCCTGAATCTTGCTAATTTCTGGAAGTTACTGCACCGAGCCAGGAAACAGTCTGGCGCAAAACCCACTGTAAAGCCAAAAGGTGATGTTTTAACACTGGTTTACCTACAGCATGGATTCAATAAATAAGATATAATGTGTTAGTTAGTTAGTTAGCTAGCTTTAGAGGAGCTGGAAGGCAGATTCTGTTAAATTTGGGGCAGAGACAGACTCGTTTTGTTCCTTAATCTTCCATCTTTATGCTAAGCTAACTAGCTGCAAGTTCTAGTCACATTGTTCACAAACAGAGTGGAGAATGGTTTCAATCTTCATCTAAATGTAGAAATTGTTCCTTGTTTGGGACAAAACATATTTACATTGAGGCGAAGGTGGTTTGTCCACTGGCCGATGACCTTGTAGCCGGGGTTGCTGACATTAGACAGCTGGTATTGGAAGATGTCGTAGCGACCAGGAGCGTCTCCATTCTCATTGAACATGACTCCAGTTCCTGCGCTGCCTGTTGGAAGGAGATAGAGTTTTTATCAGTGGTGTGAAGTATCTCAGTACATTTACTCAAGTGCTGTACTTAAGTGTGCTACTTTGTACTTCAACCCCTCTACAATTCACAGCTGAATCGTAATTTCACTCCACTACATTTATTCATTCCTTAGTTACGTTATAACTTTTGATGAATGATTTGTATTATATTCAAAAGACTTTGGTTACACCTGGAGTAACATTCACAAAAAAACTAAAACTAGCTATTTTTCTTAAATTGAACAATTTGCATAATGACTGCTTTTACTTTTAGGTATATTTTGCTGCTAATACTTTTGTAGTAGCTACATTTTTAATGCGTGATTTTAATTTGTAACAGAGTATTCCAACTCTCTGGTACTTCTACTATTACTTCAGTGCGCAATCTGAGTACTTCGCCCACCTCTGGTTTTCATGACCCAATAAAGCGAAGATGTGAGTCAAAGGAGAGGAGAGAGGAGAAACTCCAGCTCTCACCCCCATCTTACATGCTGTTGAATACATCTTGTGTTTGCTTCCTTCAGTGTTGTGCAGTCACGTGGAAGCTGAGTGCAGGAGGCTCTTTACTGAAGGCTCTCGTCCACGCGTACAGTCTTTCAGTGCACTCTGCTCTGTTGCCCTAACGTGATTGAATGTTCCTTTCAGGTCCCTGCAGGCGCTCAATCAGAAAATCTTTCATACAAGCCAAGGTCATCCAGCAAGCGGTAAATAGGATGCTTTCATAGAACACCCTTTTTTTTCTCTCTTCTTCCAAACTGTGACTTTTTTATGAAAGACGAGAATGAAAAGCTTGAGCGGTGTGTATAGGGAAGAGCAAGGAGGCAGCCCTGGGGAGAGGACGTGCTTTGAAGAAATGCGCTGTGTTCTGTAGATAGGTACATTAGCAGAACTCAAGGCTTCCTACTTCAAGCTGACCTCCATTACACTGTTTTCTTTTTAAATGTGTTTCTTTTCAATCCTTGTGCTGCGACAGAAGCAGTGGAAATCAACGGTTTCACCAGAATGCATCTCAAATCTAGCTTTTGGTTTGATAAATGTGGATAAAACTATGTGGAATCAGACTTTGCATAGGAAAGGAGAACAAAATGAAAGGTTAAAAGTCAATCAAAGTGTATATATTGCTCAATATCACACCTTTTGCCTTTGTCTCGGGGGCTTTACAGCTTATACAGAATACAACCCCCTCTCTCCTTAGACTCATTGCATCAGACAAGGAAAAACTCCCAAAGGAACATCCCAGTTAATGGGGTAAAAAGCGGAAGAAACCTCTGGGAGAGCCACAGAGGAGGATCCCTCTCCCAGACGGACAGACGGGTAATAGGTGTCGTGTGTGTTAATGGAAAAGATAACACATTTTATTACATCATAGACAGTCCAAATGCTATAAGAGATAATGTGTCTGAAGTCATGAAATATAGATAGATAGATGGATAGATGGATAGATGGATAGATGGATAGATGGATAGATAGATAGATGGATAGATGGATGGATAGATGGATGGATGGATGGATGGATGGATAGATGGATGGATGGATGGATAGATAGATAGATAGATAGATGGATAGATAGATAGATAGATAGATAGATAGATGGATAGATAGATGGATGGATGGATGGATGGATAGATAGATGGATAGATGGATAGATAGATAGATAGATAGATAGATAGATAGATAGATAGATAGATAGATAGATAGATAGATAGATAGATAGATAGATAGATAGATAGATAGATAGATGGATGGATGGATAGATAGATGGATAGATGGATGGATAGATAGATAGATAGATGGATAGATAGATAGATAGATAGATAGATGGATAGATAGATAGATAGATGGATAGATAGATAGATAGATAGATAGATAGATAGATGGATAGATAGTAGATAGATAGATAGATAGATAGATAAAGATAGATAGATAGATAGATAGATGATAGATAGATGATGGGATAGAAGATGATGATGATGATAGATAGATGGATAGATAGATGGATGGATGGATAGATGGATGGATGGATGGATAGATAGATAGATAGATGGATGGATGGATAGATAGATGGATAGATGGATGGATAGATAGATANAAGACAAACGAGGACATGAAGTCTCTGCAGAACGATCTGGCCAGTGCTGAGTAATGAATAATATTTATTTGGTTGGATTTTCCTTACAGAGATCTCCTTGTCAGCACTGGCCAGATCGTTCTGCAGAGACTTCATGTCCTCGTTTGTCTTATTCACCTCCATGGTGGACTTTTGTAACTACAAAGAGTTAAACAATCTTTGAATTAGAGTTTACACGTTTAAAAAATGGATTGTGTGTTAACTAACCAACGATGGCTGTACAGAATAGTCTGAATCTTTATTCGTAACGTTGACATTCAAATTCAAAATGTAACATTCACACTTTTTTTTTGCTGACTATTTGTTTTTGCTTGACATGGCCATTTCCACTGACCATAGTTCCATTGTTGAGGTCTACTAGAATATATTTAAATTGTGCAATTTTCCAAACTCACAGTGGTTTCTCATACAGCATCTCTGTATAGTATGTGTGTTCACTCTCTGTCCTAAACGGCTTGATAGAGCTCCTGCCCCCCCCTCCCTGTGAGCCCAGTGGCCGTCTGTGAGACACAGCTAAACCCAGCCCGAACACACACACACCCGCAGCCTGGCTGGGAGTTTGTGTGTGTGCCCAGGCTGAGTTCCGCTGTGTCTCGCTGTCTCGCCGACCCCACACCAGTGAACCAGCTCACAGTGTCCAGCTCCTCGCAGCAGCGAGCCTCGCAACGTTCCGCCGAGTGTGTGTGTGTGTGAGGAAGTCCACGGATTGGTCCAAACGTAACGGCTCCGCGGACGTTACGTTATGTCACTATACCCGAAATACGTCACTATACCCAAGAAGTAAACAATGGAAAAAGAGAAATTTCCAACGAGGCGTTCTTTTCTGTGTTAGAGTTTTACTCCCTACAGGGTGTAGTTTGAGGGTGTGTGACTCTGCAGACCGTTTACATGCAGAGAAAGCTACATAACACACAAGGGGACGGGTAATCACCAGAAAAGCATGACATGGGCCCTTTAAAGCCACTAATATTCGCATATTATTATTTCTACAGTTGGATTTCAGAATATTCAGAAGAATTAACTTTTTAAGAGGTTTTTAATTGAACAAATATTCTGCCTTAATCAACATTGAGGATGCTTAATTTTAAACAATATTAATTTAATCTAATGAATAACTTTAGTTAAATAGAAGACTGTTTTTTGTTGTTGTTGATGAGCACCTAAAATAATATGACATCAAACGTCAACAGAAGCTTAAAAAAAGGTAAACAAATATTCAGCCCTACTACCAATATAAAGTTACCTTGTGGTTTGAGGAGAGCACTTCCCTCTTCAGCTTCTCACACATGTCGTTTGAAGACTTCAGGCCTCCTTTCAGATTATCATACTCTCTGTAAAAAAGGAAGCAAGGAGAAGGAAGCAAGGAGATCAAAGCACCGCGAGTGAAGACAGGAACTGAAGATCTAAAACGATGTTAAAATGATCTTCCTTACTTTTTGAGCGAGATGCAGTAGATGGAGAGCTGCTCCACCGCCGCCTGGCTGACCCCCATATCTGTGATCATGGACTCCACCTCTGACCTCTGACCCTGCAGCAACACGTCCAAGCTGGGGCAGAGCAGCAGCAAGAGAAAGTCTTATTTTACAATGAAGGATATTACGAAAAGTGGGCAAATTCTTTCCTTCTTTACTAATTACGATGTTGATAATATCTCTGTACGTGTCGAGATATATTGTTTGTATTGTGATTTATAACGTGTGACCTAACCAGAAGATGACAGTGCTGTTGTGTGAGACTGCAGATACCTTTCATAGGTTTTCATTCTGGTCCTGAGTTTGCGGGCTTCCTCCTTTAAAGCCTGAGTTTCGTTGTGTTGTGTCTCCAGGTACGTCATCTGTTTCTGTCAAAAACAATAATACAAAAAGAGCATTGCAGAGACAATAGGAGTGAGTATGAAATTGGTTTAAACAAGAGAGACCAGACAGCTTACTCTGAGGGTACAGCAGAGCATCTCCTTTTCCATAATCTCTTTCCGTACGCTGTCCAGGTCTCTGTTCTGCTTGTCCACAGTGTCCTTCAAACCGTCCAAAACCTTCTGTCTGTCCCGCCAGTCTCGCTCTGCAAAGTGATCAGACGGATGATGAACTACTGCTCTTAACAATGCAGCCTCACACACTAAACACGTCGTTATGTTTCTTACCTTTAGAGCTTATAAGCACCTTCATTTGATCAAGTTCATTCTAAGGAAGACAAAAGACCAAAATAAAAAATATGAGATGCAAAATAACATCCAGATGATGTCATGACAAGAAGGACAATCGGGTACAAGATTCTCTGAAGCCTTAACAATTTATCTGCACAAAAATGTGTCTAGGTTTGTTACCTGCAAACTTTCGGGGTCCACCGAGCCGCCCCCCTCCTCCCCACCAACGTCAAAGAAGAGCTTGTTGATGATGTGTCTGGTGCTGACCTACACATTAGTGAACAACAGTATCAGAAATGTATGTTGGTCCATGTAGCTGTCAGTGTTGTTTGATATTGATAGTGTAAAGTACTGTACCTGTTTTCGACATTGAGGACAGGTTTTTGTAGGGGCTGACTGAAACCACTGGAGGAGACTAAGCAAAGAGAGGAAAGGGAACAATTAGACATTTAAAGAAGTGTCAGAATCGAAATGCTGTATATTTGACTATCTGCATTAACGTACCATTCATAGTGGAAAGTGTGTCCGCAGTGGATAGCAGCAACATCCTTGGAGTGATCGAAGAAGTCGGAACAGATTGTGCAATATGCTCTGATAGGCATCTTGCTGTCACCTCCTGTTATGGATCAGAAATCAGGTTTATTTCCAGGTAGGTTCACACATATGAGGAATTTATCTTGGTGTGTATGGTGCATACATGAACAGAGTTAAAGAAGATACAGTGTAAGAAAAGAAAACAAAAAAAACTTTTATAACATTAAAATATATTGAAATATTTACATGAATTAAAGATACACCTAAAAACTACGTACAGCATAATGACATAATACTCAGACTAATATAATAAAATATGTGCAGTATTGTTATGAAAAGTGGAAAGCTGTGTAGATATTAAGAGAGTTAGCTTTGTATACAAATGTGCAACATATTCGTAGGGTTTCGCAGCATTGACAATACTTAAATGAAATAAATAAAAACAAGATATTGTTGGCATAGTGACATTAACGTTACAGCAGCAGCTTTTAAAGACGTAAACAAAGTGTTAAGTTATCGTTAAGCATAACCGGGACCTTGTTTGGATAAAGCTGTAATCTTAATGTTAGCTGTCATTAGCTAACATTAACAGGCTTAACACAACAAGGCCTGCATTCGTCAAAATTGTGCCACGCAAAAGCTAGTTAGCTCCTGATAACGTTAGCTGCAGTACCAACAATTGTCATACTTACTATCCAAAGACGTTAAATCAATGTGCTGTCCTTAAAATCAGAATAAAACATCCCTAATCCAGTGTGGAATAAGACATTTAGTCGAGTTAAATGTACGCTGTTGACTTTAGCTAACAGCAACACACAATTGCTATTCCGTTTCCGCGCTGTACGTTCAAACACAAGTCGCGCCCCTAATGCTGCGTTCAGGTGGTGCTCGTAAACTAGGGACACTTTTAATTCAATGTTGGGATTCTACGGCCACTTTTTGTAATTGAAAATATCATTTTGCATGCTTTAAATACGATTTCATTCGTTCAGGGTGACAAAAGCTTCCATATAACAGATATTCGTTGATAATAACTGGTTTTATTTGACTAAAATCGTCCTGTCTTCTACTCTAAAGCACTTACCTGGAAGAAAACTTCATTACCCACAATTCCTACTTCCGCAACCTAACGTTAACCGTTAGCAGGGCATGTCAACCAGCAAGAAGAACTACAGTCATGTTACTGCTTGTTATCTACTGTTAGTTGCAGTAAATGTGACAGGCGAGTCGTGGAGCATAACCAGCACATGCAGACAGTTCCGGGAATGAAAGGTAATACTTGTGAATGTTTCAAACGAGTCATGAGAGCTGCTAAAGCGAAGATAAGCAGTATAAACTAGGTGCTAAAGTTAGCGAGCATTTGGAGTTCTTCGTTAGCATAGCGTACGCCTCTATACAGCTGGAGCAATGTAAACACGAAGGAGACATGTTACAGGCAGAGGTGGGAGAGGTACTCAGATGTAGGAATACTCTGTGACAAGTACTGCTTTCAAAATGTTATTTTAGTAAAAGTACAAAAGTATTAGCATCAAGATATTCTCAAAGTACCAAAAGTAATAGTACTCATCATGCAAATTGTCCCATTTCAGAAAATCGTATGGTTTGAGTATAATTATTAATGCATTAATGTGTTAATCAAAGATGGTAAAGGTGCTGATGCTTTTAACGTCTTTTTCTACTGCAGGGTCGTTTCTGAATATTACTACAGGTGTGACTATATTTCACAATTTAATCCAAATATGCAATGTAACAAAAGGTATTCAATTAATGTAGTGGATCAAAGTACACAGTTTAACTTTGACTTGTAGTGGGCTAGAAGTACAAAGTAGCACACAATTGAAATACTCAAGGAAAGTACAAGTTCCTCAAAATTGTTCAGGACTTTCCACCACTGGTTACAGGACTCTTTTATTTTGTCTTTTGATTTAGCAACACACCATCTTGTAACTTTAGCAACGGAAGTGAAACTGAGCTGTAGCTATAACATTGCTCGTAAAATGTAAAGGGTTAAAGTCAGACCATAACATCTCATCATAGTAGCACATCAGTGTTGGCAGAAGGACTCAAATCCTTTACTTAAGTACAAGTACAAATACTATGGTCTTAAAATACTTCACTACGAGTAAAAGTCCTGATTTCAAAATGTTACTCAAGTAAAAGTACGAGCATCAAAATATACAAAAGCAGTACTAGTTCTGCACAATGACCCGTTTCAGAATAACATAAGGTAAAGATGTGTTATCTGCGTAATTTACTTCAAGTATCAAAAGTGAAAGTACTTCTTATGCAGAGTTGATATTTTCACACAATTACATTATTATGATTATTTTCTTATGCTGTTTTTGAACAAGTAAGAGCACTTTAGTCTTGTCAATGTGGACCAAATATCATAACCATAACTATATATATATATATATATATATAAAGGTCACAACCAGCTTGATCATCAGCCATGTGTCATGCTGTTGACCTTTGGTCTCATGGCTCTCTGTTTCTCTGCCAGGTGTGTGTCCCTAACACGAGCAGCAGTGATGGAAGGAGACTCCCAGAGTGCGTCGGCCTCCTGGGAGAACGGGACTCTGGCTCCTGGGGAACACCTTCGCTCCGACAGGGCGGACAGCCCCCTCCCGGGCCTGGTGGAGGGAACAGAACCAGGTGAGAGTGGTCTATATTCAGAATCAGAAACAGGTTTATTCCCAGGTAGGTTGACACGTACGAGGAATTTGACTTGGTGTCGTGGTGCATACATCAAAGTAAAACAAGAATTAAAAAACACAGATAGCAAACTATTTTAAGAAGACTGTAATAACATTACAAAAATAAGACTTTTAAAAAAAACAATTAACCAATAAGCAGTATATGACATTGGTAAATAGGTGTGATAAAATATCGCACTCCGCATCGTACACGCCCAACCAACTCGTTCACACAGACCTGAAGTCAGAGTGGAATATTATAAGTAATTTTACTCAAGTCCTTTCTTATGTAAGGCTTACAGGTTATGAGGAAGTTGTTTTTTTGTGTTTGGCATGTTGATTGATGCATTTGTACCATGTCTTTTATTTATTACCTTCAATCTTGTTGGTAAGGACCCCAATGGGGGGGATGATATTATAAAACACAAAATGTTTACCGGTGGGTTGTGAAACACTAGTTTACGCAGCTTACACCTGTGTCCCTTATACTGCAACTACTAAGGATTTAAGGAGTCCACGCGTCCTCTGAATGCTAAGTAAGTAACTCTGTATGCACAGCAGAGTTTCGCAGTTGGTTCAAGTTATTTGTTGTTCCTCACCTTCCATCAGACAAATAAGCTTCAAAAATAGGAGCAGAGCACTATTTGCCAGCAGAATACGTTGTGAATATATCATATCCTTGAGTACTTTATTGTCGCTCCTCGCATCTCAAAGTTGAAGTCTCCTATTTCGTCTGCACCTGTGCGACAGTCGTAATGGGAGGACTTCACACGTGGCAGTTGTGTCGTGTGTGCTCGGGTGGATGAAGGCATGAGTTTGCAACCTCCTGTTTGTGCAAGAAATACTTGAAAATATCTTTATCTGGAAGAAGTGATCAGGGGCTTGGGAGTCAAGGAAG